CTAAGGGTACAAGGTTACCTGGAAACAGGCGCCACATTGCCAGGCTCTGGCTAGCAGGAAATGTTGTTTTGGCACATGATGACACAACAATGTCATTCAGACATGGGTGTAGGTTGTTCACGAATGTTACTTAGGCCAACATGCAGTGCGACCTCGAAACAAATGTTACTTGTCCAGACATGTTACTTGGTCATCATCAGGAAATATCGAATGTTACCTAGATGTGAAGCCAATGTTACTTAGACATGAAGCCAATGTTACGTAAACACGTTGCCAGAACACATGCAATGTTACTTAAGCGTGAGACCAATGTTACCTAGCCACAGAAATTGTATTTGGGGATGCTGTCACTAAAGATTCAATGTTACTTAGAGATCAACGTGAAGTAGCCATCTAAGCTACTCTTACAAAAGGATGCAACAAACCTGCCCCAATGCATGCTCCAGAAACAAACTGAGATGCTGGAATTTAAATCCTTGATGGATGGGAAAAGCTTTCTAGGTATCATTCCTTTGTAACACGAAAATACTGTTGACCGACAGCAATTGTGCTGTGATTTTTTCATGGCTTTCAATGCAGTTTGTCCGTTGTGCTCGCATTTTTGAAGGAGTTTCCAAGCAGTTTCTAAACATTGTTTAGGGATTTTAGGAAACAGACTTTATTGCCAACGTCTATTCGATCAGATAGACTTTGGAAAATGAGCTGTTTTAGTGTTTCCAAAATCGATTGTAATTCAGAAGTACATTCCATTTTTTGCATAGACGAATAGTCAGGAAATCTTTGCACAAAACCTTCTTTTCAGTGGCCTGCTTGTTTTTCTAGAATGCTACCTAGCAATTTTCATACCTCATGTGACCATGCTACCTAGCAGCCTCAGGTACTTTATACATAAGGCAATGCCACTTAAGGAGTGTGAACATACTACTTCATCCTTGCCATTTGATTTCCTGTCACACAAAAAACTGCAGGCTCACAGAACATGGTCACAAAAAACCAACAAGCAAAATCAGGGAACACAGAAAATTAAGCAGTCCTTGTGTAATTTTCCAATGCATATAAATGCATGCTCACAGGACATGGTCAGCAAAAAAGCAACAAGCAAAATCAGGAAACAAAGAAAATTAAGTAGTCTTTCTGTAAAATCTTAATGTACACACAGGCTACTTGATAACATAAAATAGTTTATTTCATAAAAATAAACTATAAAATAGACTATTTTATAGTTTATCTTTTTAACTCTAAGGGTAGTAAATAGTTTATTTTGATTTCAGGAAATAGTTTGTTTTTTTAACTCTGGATATTAGTCAGGATTCTGTCTAACCTGATCTTAGAGGTAATCCCTAGACCTAAACTTTATACCCCAAACCGGCAGATGGAAAAGGTCCACGCAGCAACCTAGTCCAACACCCTACACACATCTATACCGAGAACAATCCAGCCAAAACCCTACACCCAAAACCTCGGATTCACCGGCCCTAAGCCCTAAACCCCCAAACCCTAAACGCGAAGCCCTGAAGCCTTAACCCTTACACCCTAAACAAGGAAAGAAACCAAGCCCTAGATCTCTGATCAGGATTCTTGGAGTGCCGCGTGGGGGCCCTGGCTCTGCAGTACTCTTCGGTTAGCTGGGGTTTCCCGAGATCAGGGTTTAGGGTGTTGGAGTCCCTGTCACAAGGATCACTGTGCTTTAGGGCATGTTTTCCTTCAGGTATATTTGAGCCATAGTCTAAACTCCGTTAATAATAAGGGGTTACATAGGGAATTATAGGGGACGACTACAGGGGTCATTGGGGGGGATACTTGGAGGTTTGACTATGGCTCATTTGGGGTTATCACCTTGAATCCATGCCAAGGGAGGATTGCGGATGAGAAATAGGGCTATACTACCAAGTATGGGTTCAGGGTGTAGGGTTAAGGGTTTAGGGTTTAGGGTTGGGGCGTTATACTACCAAATATTAGACCCCAATTAAGGCTTCTATGGGATAATTTTTGCGAAGCTTCCACCTAAGTAGAGCTTGATCCCTACTCTCAAAACAGTCTAGTGGCACGCGGAAGATTATGAATGGGGTTTAGGGTTTAGGTTTGGGGGCTTAAGGTTGCAAACGACTGTGTTGTCTGCCTGCACAACAGTGATTCAAGAGCTTGTGTCACAATCTTGATTTGGATCAAGACCTCCGTAGAATTCTACGGGAAGCGTGTTAATGAAGATGGCCAAGCTTTTAGTGATCTTAGCACCTCTTCTCGGCTCCGTGGCTGGCCTGAAGTATCTGGCTGACGAGTTCCTTAACGTTTCATCCCAGGTGAATGTTCCAGACTGCAAGGGCACACAGTTGGCCAAAGTTGTTGGGAAGGACCATTGGCAGTGTGACAGCTTGAGTGGGAAGGCCGGGAAGAGCAACGAGGAGAAGTGCCGTAACAGCTATGACACCAACGCCGCTGGGAAGATGTTTGTGCAATGCGAGGCGCCAGGACCTCCAAAAAGTGTTTAGGGTTTAGGGTTTTTAGGCTTTAGGGTTTTTAGGGTTTAGGGTTTAGGGTTTAGGGTTTTTAGGGTTTAGGGTTTAGGGTTAAGGTTCATCCCGCCTAAATTGGGAGTTTGTTGAAATCGGGGTTTTGTAGAACCCTGAATCTACATGTATTTCCCTCTCATCCTTTATTCAAATAGCATGGTATACGCCGAAAACCGTATTTGGAAGGATTGAGGCCTCCACACTACCATAGCCGGTAGGATTAATATGGTGGTATTCTCCTTATTCCCCTAGAGACCAAGAAGGGCAAGTATCGAGATTGTCCGAAATCATTTTTAGGATCGTTCGAGCCTCTCTGGATGCCAAGTCTTGTGCACGCCCTTATCATGCAGTCCTGCAGAAAATCCTGAGGAGGCCTTAGCTGACAATTGCATATGTTACGGCCCCATATGAGCTATAGTCTCAACTCCTTAAAGGGGGGTTTATATGGGGGATTATATAGGGGACTACTATAAGGGTTACTAAGAAGGATACTAGGAGTTTAGACTATATTTCGTATTCCTTGTAGAATTATGGTCGAGGGTGCCAAGACCTAAAGCCTATATAGCCCTAGTATAGTAGTCTCCATTCTCTTTTCCATTATCCCTATATATCCCCTATAGTATCCAATAAAACCCTAAATCCCAAACCCTAAACCGTAAATCCTAAATCCTAAACCCTAAACCCTCTGAAAGCCTGAGGTGCAGTACCAAAATCCCAGCAAGACGCATTTCAACTGCTTCTGGGTGACTGTCAGGGGTTTAGGGTTTTGGTTTTAGGAGGTTTAGGGTTTAGGGTTGGGTTTAGGGTTTAGGGTTTATAGGGCAAAGGGTTCCGGGTGTAGGGCTTAGGGTGTAGGGCTTAGGGTTCAGGGTTTGGGGTTCAGGGTTTAGGACCTTTAGGATTCAGGGATCCTTTATGCTTTTGTAGTACTTTGAGGTTTCTGACAAATACCTGCAAAAAGGATCCTACACTCCAAAACCTGGGCGGCCTTACAGTAAAGCCGAAATCCTATCAACTTTCATTTTCTTTGGGGAAAAGGAACTTAAACCCTAAACCTTGAACCCTAAACCCTAAACCTTAAACTTAAAACCCTATAGTCCTAAACCGCAAATCTTAAACCCTAAACCCCTAAACCCTAAACCCCTAAACCCTAAACCCTAAACCCTTCACCCTGAACCCTAAAACCTTGCAGCCGAGGCCTGGGACCCACGGTGTGCAAGAAGCCAGCAGCACCGCCCTCTTGCGGCTCGCTGGATAAATTCTCGTTCAGCAAGGAGACTGGGGGGTGTGTCGGGGGGTTAGGATTTAGGGGTCTAGGAATTCTAGGGGGTTTAGGGGGCTAAGGGGGTTTGGGGGGTTTAGGGGATTTGGGGGGGGTTAGGGTTTAGGGGTTTAGGCTTTAGGGGTTTAGGGGCTTCAGGGTTTGGGTTTAGGATTTTTGGATTTAGCTCCGGGATTCGCCGCACCGCTAGAGTTCCACACCCTAAGGGTCCAAGGACCCAAATAATAAGGTTTTAGGGCCCAAATACCTATAATGTAAATGGTATTTGGGCCCTAAAGCCCTATTATTTGGGTCCTTGGACCCTTAGGGACAGTATATCCCTGCAACCGTTGAGAATCTAAACCCTAAACCCTAAACCCTAAATCCTCACCTCCTTTCATCTTGAGATGAAGGATCCTAGGCTCAAATCAGGGGTAGCCTCAGGGACCTCTGCGGACGGAGGAACATCCTTCCTAGCCCTAGGGCTCCATGTCTATATTACCCTAGGGTTTAAGGTTTAGGGTTTAGGGTTTAGGGTTTAGGGTTTAAGGTTTAGGGTTTAGGGTTTAGGGTTTAAGGGTTTAAGGGTTTAGGGTTTAGGGTTTAGGGATAGCACCTACATTGGACCCCAAAGTCTATAAATATGACCTACATTGGGCTATTTGGAGCCTTAGGGTAGGGGATATGTAGGGACCGTTGTGAGAGACTTCCCAGTTGAATCAACTTCATGTTGAAACAGCCGGGTGATGCCAGGGATTCTTGGAGATTAAAAACAACTATATCCTTAACCCTAAATAGTAGTTTCCATTTTATTTTCCAGTATCCCAATATAACCCCTATATACCCCCAATATACTATAGTAGTTTCCATTGACTTTGGGGAAAATCTTTCTTGAGGGAAGCATTCTTCGCGCAGCACACAGGACAAGAAGGAATTCGTGAAGATCATTGACTGGGACAAGGGGACTTCTGCCAACAACGGAGTGACCTTCGACGCTAAGAAGGACTGAACAGACTGGGGCTTAGAGTTCAGGGTCAAGGGCTAACTTGGCCAACAGAAGGACTGCGTAAACGACCTCTTCAACCAGAACGGTGGTGTTTGGCTCATGGAAGTCAGCAAAGATGGCAGCACCTTCCACGAGTGGGCCGTGTACAAGCAGACTCAAGTGCGCAATGGATTCGATGCTTATGGCTACATCTACAACTGGAGGTCTTCCAACAATAAGATCAATAAGCATTTCGAGTTGTACTCGGACGTCGATGATGCAATTTCCGGCAGTTCGAAGTGGAACACATGCAACTATGATGACTCCAAAGCAGGATTTGCTCGTGATTGCTGCTGCCGTGCATCATCGAAGTCCTTTGAGCCCAACAAGGGAGGAGGCGGCTGGGGGTTCTTTGCGCCCTCAAGCTACCGCACCAACATCCGTTGGTCCAAAATCAGGATCTCCATGCCAGTCAAGCCCTTGTCGTGATGATGCCACTAGACTGACGACCTTGGGATTCGCACAGAAATCGAGCTGCAAAAAAGTCGGTTGTGGACATGCTTTATAGTCTAAACTCCTTAAAGAGGGTTATATACGTGATCCTATATTGGAGTATGATAGGGATTACTAAGGGGGATACTGGGAGTTTGGGCTACATAGTTCACATTGTGTCTGAGCATGCCGAAAGTCATATGGCGCCTTCTCAAATCCGGTGTCCAAGGGATTGCTGAAATATGTAGGATGGTGCAGACAAGGAGCAGATGGGGTGCTCCTTAAAAGTGATGAAGTCATGCAACAAAAGTTTCCATTTTCTTTTCC